GTGTGGCACACTGCACTTTATGCAAATGTTTAATAAAGAAATTCCTTTCGAGAGACAATCATAATAAGAAGCATTGTTGATGCTTTCAATATTAATTTAAAAATCATTGCTGCTATAGCAAGTGTTATTATTAATATTAATAGCAAGTGATATTTATTATGTATATTATATGAACATTAGGAAAAAAAAAAATTTTATTTTTTATTTTTTTTTTTGTTTTTTACACTAATGTCCACTCAGTACAAGGCCCTATAAACAGGAAGAGGTAAAATGAAGTTTGAGGATATGTAGGAAAGATAACAGCTAACTAGACTTAGAGATTAAGATTGCTGTGATAGGGCAAGCATTCTCTTAGCAGTCTTGTCCCACAAAGCAATGAGTGGAACTTCCTTATTAATTGGGTAGGAAGGTAATGTATGTGGCATAGTGGATCTTAGCCATGACTGTCAGGATTAGTGGGACTAAGGAATGTAGCTCATTGAAAGGCTTTTTTTTTTCCTCTCTTCCCTTTTTTTTCCCCCCCTCTTTTCTCTATTGTCTAATTCATTTCGGCTATGAAAGACTTCATTCTTTTATGTAATTATTATTATATTTGAACTGGTCTCTTCACATTTGCCTTATACCTAATGACTTTTATTGTCTATAACTTTAAGATTCATTAATATACCCAACATTGGTTGAAATCTCTTTACATATTTACTGTTATTAATGTTTTGGTTGACCTATTTTTCAATCCTTGTCAGGTGTAAACCTTGAGAAAAAGAAAAACTTATTTCAAACAATCTTTTCATCAGGCTAGTCTATTTTCACTGTCAGATACACAAAGTATCTTAGAGGGAAGAGTTCTACCATCAACAATTTTACTTGGCAAAGAAAACCACACAGTATTGAAAGGCATGTGGGCTATTATGTTGCTTTATTTGACTTGCTTATTCTCCAATGAGTCTCTCTGTAAATTATTTAATCTTATCTAGCATACAACAGATTTTTTTTTACCACATTTGCTCTCTTTTGAGAGGATGGTTTGTATAACTGGAATTCCGTCGTGGCATAATGAGGGCTTTGGAAAACTAACCTTCATAGGGCATATAAGGATATGCAGTGAGCTTTTGTGAATGGATGATGGAACAGGAGGTTGAGGCTTTAGCAAATGGGGGGGAAATTTCCCAAGAACCACACAAGATAGTAAGTTGTAGAGAGTTAAGAATGCCTCTCTCCTGAAGGGACACACTACACAGAAAATATATGTAATGTTGTTGTGTTTGTTTTTATTATGTTCACCCTACTTTTCTTTCATAAGGGCTCAACACTGATAATGGTAAAATTACTATTAAATGCTACTCTGATCTTGTAATGTAAGAATTCTTTGAATCTGTTCAATTTTGTCATCCTTCACAACATTGTTATCCAGGTTCAACAGATGTTTAACTGACGGCTGTACAGGAATATATCAAGGTAGTTGTCAATTTCAACAGCAACTCTGAGAAAGCTGTACTTAAAGATTTGTAGTTAATAGCAAGGAAATATTTAGATCTGATATGCTCATTGGAAAAAGTGTCCTCATGATTCCTCAAACATCAGGTAAATGAAAGATATAGTTTTTTGAGATGGTAACCTCATACCATAATAAATATCACTGAAGAGAAAGAGGGTGGTGCTTTAATGCCTACGAAAAAAAAAAAAATCATGTTTTAGCAGATAGAAGAAACGCTACCGTGATAGACAAAACTGTAAATTTAAAAAAAAAAAAAAAAAAACTTACTGTAATTGATGAAAGCTCTTATATTCTAAACAATATAAATATTGACATGGAATATAAATCAAATGATTTTCCTTGCATAACAATTGATCATAAATATATTTGTGAGTGAAATTGGATAGACAAAACTGTTGTACTCGGCCATTGTGACTGAGCTTGAGTGTACTGCCTTGTTCCAGACTATTGATCATGCCAGATTATGAATTCTTTCCCACAAACTAACTGTACACGTTTGCAATAGGGATTAGTTGATTACCAAAGTAGATGGCTATATTCGGTCATATATCGCATCAATTTAGGATGGATGGAATTAGATTATTTCATGTAACTCTTAACAGATTTTAGTCATGTAATACATACTTATTACTGTACGGGTACCAAACTATAATGATACCATTATTTGTGATCATAATATCTGGGAAAATATCATTTATACTTTGTTACGACCATGTCTCAATAGATTTTTAAAAGAGGTCTACAGGACATTTATATTCCTACAATTATATTCGGCCTTGTCAGCTATGCTTACTAAATATGGGCACTTCGACATGGAGTAATGGTTAGCAAGCTTGTTTCACTAAGTCAGTTATGACTGAAAAATGGGTTCAACCCTTATTGGGTGCTCCATACTTTCGGCCTTGTGTCACATCTAAGCTATACTGAGTAAATCGCTATATTCCTGTAATCATAAAATCCTCAGGAATTTGGGAAGGATTAAATATATTACCTGCTTTTTATGAGTTTAGTCCTTGGGTTAGGCACTAAAAGTTAGTGCATAAAGCAAAAGTAACATTTCTTTTTCTTTTTATGTGGCATGTCCTTTCAGGGCGTAGGCGATCATGGCTCTCCACCTCCCTCCATCCCTTGCAGCTCTCAGCAAGTTCCTTCCCTTTGCTTTCTCTCCCAGACCACGTTCTGTCATCCACCTGCTCAAGCTCGTCAGGTATGTCACGCGCTGCTTCCCTTGTCTCTCGTTCCTTCTATTCGACCTGTGAGTATCAGTTTCTCCGGGCCCTTCTTCCTCATGTGTCTCAGAAACTTCAGCTGCCTCTTCCTGATGTTAAGTATAAGCCTTCTCTTTGTTTGGAACCTCTCTAAGACCTCATCGTTGCTCATATGCTCAGTCTATGATATCCTTAGCATCTTTCTGTAGAACCACATCTCCGTCGCCTCGAGTCTCTTCTTCATCTTTGAGGAAATCGTCCAACATTCGCTGCCGTAAAGAACAGATATCACGTAACAGCTCAGTATTCTTTTCTTCATTATCAAAGAAATCCTCCTGTCTCGCAATACTCTGCTCATCTTTTGGAATATGTCCTTGGCTATCCCAATACGTCTACAGATCTCAACGTCGCACTTGCCGTCCTCTGTCAAGACGCTTCTCAGATATTTAAACTTCTGCGTCTGCTTGATTCTAGTGTTCCCGACCTGCAAATTGCATTTCGGGCTCATCCTCTTACTGATGACCATCCATTCTGTCTTCTTGTAGTTTATGCTTAGTTCTTTCTTCTCACTCTCCGTCGCTACCTTCTGTAGGAGATTTTGTAATTTCATTTCCATGTCTGCTATCAGTAATGTGTTATCTGTGTATCTTATGTTGTTAAGGTTGTGGCCGCCAATGCTAAATCCCAGTAGGGTTTCCAATTCTCTCAGAATTGCCTCGCTGTATAGGTTGAACAGATTGGGTGAGAAGATGCATCCTTGCCTTACACTCCTTTCTATTTTTGTATATTGACTGAACTCATTCCCTATGCGTATGCATGTTTTCTGCCAGTATAGGTTCTTGATTATTCTGATAGCCCTCCCGAATATATCAAGGTTGCTGAGCAGTTCCATCAGATCCTTGTGGCGTACTATGCCGAAGGCCTTTGCGTCGTCTATGAAACATAGGTACACATCCTTCTGCATCAATATCGCTCTTTCTGATAATATTCTGAGCATGAATATCGCGTTCCTTATTCCGGTGTCTTTAACGAACTCGCACTGCACTTGTCCTATCTCTGGCCTGATTCTGTTGCGCTCTCTATTCAACAGAATACGGATGATGAGTTTTGTCACATGGCTCATCAGGCTTATTGTTCGGTAGAGTTCGCATTCGTTTGCGCCTGGTTTCTTAGGCATAGCTATAAAGATAGATCTGCTGAGGTCTTTCGATATATCCTCGCTGTTGTAAATTTCATTTGTTATTTCCATGATCTTGTCTATGACAAAGTTATCTAAGGCTGTCAGCATTTCCGCTACAATTCCAGCTGCCTTGTTTCTGTTCAATTTGGCCAGTGCTGCTTTTACTTCGGTTTTCAGAATTAACTAAAGCGATATCCCTGGACATGCATTGTGGGGTCATAGCTAAGATGAAGAGATCAGTCCAAATAATTATATGATAATGATTGCATAAAAAATGCAAACAAATACATAATCTTTCATAGCAGAAATGAATTTTACAAAAAGATACAACGTACAGAAGTGTGTGTGTGTGTGTGTGTGCGTGCACGCGTGCTTTTTTTTACGGTTCCTTATGAGCGAGTTACATACAAGGCGTTAATTTTCACATTCCATTTTTTTTTTTTTTTTTTTTTTTTTGACTTTCCTGGACAAGGTCTTTTTCTTTAAGAATTTTATTGAATACCAAAGGCGTTTTTCAATTATAGTGTGTGTTACAATTCTTTTAATTTTCATTTTTTATGGCTTTAATCTTGATACAGCTTGGTTATAGGCACTGTTTTGATTGGAGGTGTGTGTTGGGGTGGGGAGGTAAGCTTTCTTTTTCAGAATGGTTAATTATCACCAACCCTGCTACTCTTATTTTTTTTAGCTTGTATATCAAATTTTTTAGTACTTGTCTTATCATTTATATATATATATATATATGCCTTGTGAATAGTTATTTTACAAGGATTAATTTGCTTCAACAATTCTGGATATTCTATTTCTTTTTTTTTTTTTTTTTTTTTATCTCCCTCATACCACACAACCAGCCGTCCTCGATTGACTCTGCCAAACAACTGTCCTATTTATATCGTATTCACACAAGCAGCTGATCATAGAGGGTCTTGTTAAGTAAATCGTACTGTTATGTAACCTTATCAAGGTTATTTATCAGACTTTAGACTCTATTATTATTATTATTATTATTCACTGACTATTGAAACAGTGACGTGAATTTCGGGCACCAATTAAATTGAGAAACTGTCTTAAAATTTGTTGTAGACGAGAATTGAGTGGAAAGCTATTCGTGCACATAATGGATGCTCAGATTACTGCTTGCTTTGTACGGGATATAAGGTTCCCCACTTCGCTGGACCTACACGGCTCAGATGCTATGGTAAATATCATTTTATATGAACAATATTATTTTATATGCATTATTCACTTATTTCGTATTGATCAGCAGTAAAAGTTTTACTGTAAAACTTATCTTCGACTTGAACACACGTTTTATTTCAGAAATGATTTAGAATAGTATCATCATTTGTAAATTACGATCATTGTTTTGTTTTTCCTTACTTAGTTTTGTCACATCTAATAATTTTCAAGGAAGCTTCGGTCATTTTTGGCTTTTGTCACTCCAGTTAAAACAACAAATCCGAGCGGCAAAGTTTCATGCTGCACTGCAGAGAATTGGTCAAAACACCAAAGAATGATATTGGAGTAATGACTAGTCACTTAAAAGGCTTAGTTTTTAAACTGTAGATTGTAAATTTATTTCAACCGATTTGGTTTCAGCTTAGCTTATAGTGCAAGGCCAAAAGGTAGAAATTACATTGCAAGTTAAGAAAATCCATCTGGCTTTGATAACATTTGAAATCTTGAGCCTATTTCATCTGCGAAAACTGTAACCATTTCAGCAACGGGATAATCTTACCATCATTTATTGATATCTTTTATTTTTCTCGTGGAATTCATTTAAGAATAGAAATGACTCTAGCTTTCAGTGGAAGGAGGGACAATTAAACATAGAGAAATAAATTCTGGGTTTAAGTTCTTCAACAGAAAAAATAGCTTGACGTTTTATTAAATGCTAAATTGTAAATGTGGATAGATTTGAAAACGGAAGACACTGCACCGTCAACAAAATTTTCTTTTTCACGTTATATATTTATTTATATAGATTCTTCTTTGAGATAATCAATATGACTTTCGCTTCTCTAGGTCAACTACTGATATATTAACGATTACTGCCGAAAGAAAAAATACAAAGTATGCAATTTTATTGGTCTTGACGTAGCATCTCGGCTTCAGTCATTTTCCCACTGTCGTAACGTAGCTTCCCTATGCCTTTTCTATAAATATTTTCATAATAATTGATCTGGTGAATATTCTTCTATGGTACTTGGAATTTATGAATTTAAGCGCAGTATCAGATTGGCGGCAAGTTGAAATGTCTAGATGTAACCGTAAGTTCTATGCTAGCAGTTTCTTCTCTTGCACTTCTCCTTTGTAGAACTCTCTTTTGGCTTCTTGCTTTCCAGTCAACTTTTCATTTAAATTTTTGAAGATCAATGTCGAATGTTATTCATTTTTTTTTTAAATTCCTGTTCTTATATTTTTCTCTTACCTTAATAAGATTTTTTTTTATCTCATAATCTCTCACACGCAATACCCCCTTGCGTCTTAGTGGCTTTATTGCTTTGTTTGGGTAAAATAATTAAAATAAATTTCTCAATTATTGTAAGTATATTGAAGGTAACTTTTTTGACTGGTAGAAAGAAATGATTACAAAGTGGGCGTTAAGTTTGTGTTGAGAAGAGGATATTTTGTGTGTGCGTGTGTGTATGAACGATGTATAAATTTTCACGGCTAACTTCGGTAGACAATCTTATCAAATGCCACTGTCTAAATCTAAGGGTGAAAGGAGCATCCTTGTTTCATGTTGCTTGAATAACGTTGTGAAAGAAGAAAAAAAATGAAGGATGGGTCTTTGAAATTTGCGCATGACGATTACAGGGGCAGTAATTGGTCTTATTTTGTGCTGTGTTCAACTTACGAATACCACTTGATGAATAGCTGTTGTTTTATTTTGGAGAACGTCCTTTATTAACAAAAACTATAAGAAAATTATTGCTCAAAGCAAAAGATTGATTTTGATTTTTTACGGTTTGTCAAACTTTTAGGGTTATTTAAAGCCGAAACATTTTTGAATTGTTAGAATGCTTTGAAGATAATAATGATTTTCTGATACAAGTCTTACCATTTAACCCATAACTGGGGAGACGAAGAGGTGGATTCATACCTTTCCCAAGGGCATTTGCATGTAAGTGAATATAAGCACCCGACTGGAATTCGAACTCGTCTCTCTGAGTTCTCATTTCGAACCTTTATCCATTGCAAAAAGGTAAAAGGAAGCTGTGAATGTAATTAAGAAACTAAATATTAAACGTCATTTCATAAATATTGTTGCAGTTATGTCTAAATTACGTAATGTATGAAAGGCAGTATCGCCATACCTAAGCGAGAGTTACCGTCCCTTGTTGAGTCTACATCTGTCAGAGAGAATACAATTATTTCATCGTTTTCAGAGGAAGAAAAATTATTAAGACTTTTCGAGATAAATAACAACTAGGAGTGCATTTACATTAAATCAAATCTGATCCGTTATTTCAGTAATTTCTGATAAATATTCTTAACGAATTGTTAATCTATTTATTAGTCCATTGACTGAGGCATTTCGACGTGGTTAGCAAGCGTGTCTCGCTACATCAATTACAAGTGAGTTCGAGCTTTAATGGATGCTTCATACTTTCGGCTTCGTGCCATATCTAAGAAACTGTGACAGAAATTTCCTTTATTCGCAGTTAGAAGGATGAACATTTTTATCTAACTGAATTTAAATAAAAATAAAGAGTAATTTATGTTTTTTATATTATTTTCCAAAAACCTAAAAATAAATAAATACCCATTTTTCAATACAAATGTGGTATATTCATTTTAGAAACAAGATCAATTTAAAATCGTCTACTTTGTTTTTCTGCACCACGAGATGTGTTGGCTTTACGCCTGGCCAAGATTCAGTAAAGACTTTGCGAAGTACATCAATATTATTTTAATGATTTTATTTCATGGCATATAGTCGTGCCGATATACTAATGGTTACTGGCACGAGTACAGTTCAAAGTCTTGATTGGCAACGAGTCAAGAAGAAGAAAAACTCCACGTTCCAAATTGAAGAAAGCAATCGGAAACGAATTCATTAAGTTTCCGAGAAAAATCTAGTCAATGCAGTGTTTACAAATACTACAGACAAAGAACTGGTGATCCATGATCCTCGACATCTTGAATGGACATAACACTTAGAGATTTGTTAGCATATAGGACCTCGCCCCATTTACATTTAATATTAAAGTATTATAGATTTTAGCTATGTCAAGAGTCTTTGGGTAAGCATTACTCTACTTAATATCTCAACTTTACATATAAAACTTGAGTTAGTGGGGGGAGGGGGTCTTTTATGCCATCAAATACAAATTGTTAGTTACCTGCCAACAACAATATTACAATTCCAAAACGGTTTTACTTTATTCTGGTTTCTTAACATAGAACCACTATTTCTAAAATAAAGAAGTTTCTAGTAAACGTTATCTCGTAACAAATTAGTGGGCTGAAATGAGGGCAAGAAATAATCTTTTTATGCCAATTTGTTTGAAGAGGTTCAAGATAAGCGCTCCTAATGTCAGTGAAAATATTGTCTTTCTTTTGAACAACAAATTAGAATAACCGGTCAGATGTTTGCATATTTAAAATGTCGTATTGTAGCTATTGTTTCGGACGTGTTCAATCAGTCAAGCCGAAACTAATTAATGATAATTCGGCCAGGTAATTAAATTCATTGGAGCAACTCATTTAAGTAAATTAGTTCTACGAAGCCGACTTTAGTTTCACGTTCTTCTTAATTACAATAAATTACTCTTCTTTATTCCATTATTCCAAGGCAATTGTTCAGTGGTAAAAACGTCAAACAAAGCCTACAAATTCAAGATCTCAATTCATAGTAGCCTAGCACTTTTCACAAACAAGATAAAAATTAAAAGATATTTACCGTCTGAAATACGCTAAATTCAAATGGTAATAAATTTGAATTTTTTTTTTTTTAAATCATTTCACCCCAAGCAAGTCAATAAAACCACTACAAGGGGGGTTACCGAATGTGAGAGAATATGCGAAAAAATTATTAAAGACAGATAATAAAAAAGAACAGGAATTAAGAAAACAGAATTAACCTTGCACTTAAATTTTTGAAGATCAAAATTGACTGGAAAGCTAGAAGCCGGAAGAAAGTTCTACAAGCGAGAGAAGAAACAGCATAGAATTTATGGTTACATCTACTCATTTTAGTTATAAAATGATGAGACCTAGGCACCAATCTAGAACTGCGCTTAAATTCATAAAGTCTGGGTACCAAAGGAAAGTTTACCAGAACAATGTCCATGAAAATATTTATAGAAAAGGTACAGGGAAGCGACATTACGGCAGTGCGAAATTGACTGAAGCTGATCAGCAATATTCAATGCATGGACGAAAGGCAGACTTATAGATGTGTAAGATAGATTCTGGCTAGAAAAACTGTCTACCACGACACAGTGAGCCAACTATCCTAGCAACAGACCTAGCAATTGATTCAACGGAAAACGTTAGGCTGAGAAGACGGAATGCGTCACTCTACTGGAGTTTAGCATCAGCCATGCTGAGTGAAAGTAAGAAGGGTTCTCTGAGGCGATTAAAAGAACATAGTTTCTTTTTGAAGACGTCAAAATTGACAACGCATTCCTTGTCCCAGTTAACAGCAAATTGTATGTCATTTTTAGATGAACTGCTAATTTGACCTCATCGAGCCGATCAGAATTACTATTAGAAAATTAGAAAGCGTAGGTCCAAAGATAGTCATGCAGGACACCTGTATTAATCTAGAAGAATGGTGGTACATGACATTTAGAGATTTAAAAAAAAAGATTGAATCAGTTCAAAATTTCCTCCGGAAATACAATACTCTTTCAACTTTTGAAGAATACCAGTAGGCCAAACCCTGTCAAATGCGTTTGAGATATCCCGATACTTGTCTAAAGGTTGAACGACTATTTCAGCAATAATTGTTTATACATCAGCAGTTGACCTAGAGAACGAAAGCTATATTGCTTATATGAAAGAAGGCCCTGCGAATCGAGATGCTTAACCAATTCAGAGTTGATAAGAGCCTCTAAAAGTAGAAGGTTGATAGACCGATATAAGGATCAGACGGTTCTCAAAAACTATACAAGAACATTTCCAACAAGCAAGTAAGAAGCAACAAGGCATTTATTGTAGAGTTTAGAGAAAACAGGAGTCAGTTCAGGGGCTGATTTCTTAAGAACCATAGCAGGGATACCATCAAGTTCACATGCTTTGTGGGGATCCAGTTTAAGGATGAACAGAAACCATGGACGGAGTTATATGCATATCAATCAATAGGGACTCAGTTCTAGGTGGAAAGTCAGATGAGTTATGAGTAGAACTTGAAGAGAATTTACAATAAAAGCAGTCTGCTTTATCAGCAGATGTTAACATCTCAAATTGAGTGTAGAGAGGAGGGATAGAAGACTTACTCTTATTAAAGACACTATTACAGAGCCTCTAGTAGTCACGAGAACTAAACTTATTAGAGGCTATTCGGTACCTCATTCTGTCAGTAAACAATAGCTTAGCCTCTTTGGAGACAACTTTACAATTATTAGGAGAAAACATAAGGAGGCGTCTGTTGCGAAATCCGCTATTTGACTGAGAGTCTGAGCAACGGAAAAATTAAAAGCCTGAATACCGGCAACATCAGTAACGTTAGGATGATTAAGCCACTTGATATAAGGAGCATTAAAATCACGTTCGCAGATGAATGAAGAGAGGGATATTTATATTGTCAGATATTTTGTTTAATATGTTACAGTCCTCAGAAGATGAGCAGTGATAAAGGAAAAAAGAGATAATTAAGAGAAAGCACATGAAGAAATCACCAGGGACTTTTCTGGATGCGAACACCAAGGCCATGAATAAATAAGTATCCTAGGATTTTTCTCAGCAAAGAGGAAGATAGCCTGTAACAGAAAATTCATTGGCAGCGATAGAAGAATTTAAATTGGTTTCATAAAGTGTTGGAGAATGTTTCAAGAGAAAATATTCTACACTACAGAAATTGGTACGCATGCCACGAATATTGGAGAAAGAAAAGTTGAGTGGGGTAGGTGATTTTTGTTTACTGATTTACTCGCATTTCCTTTCATCGTATCTATCATAATAAGATTATATTTTAAGGAGACAAGAGCCAAAATATTTATCATTAGCCATCATTTATATCAATACAAACTGGCCAGAAATTGGCAGAGACTAAAGCATAATGTGGCCTTAGGGTTGGCCACTGGAAACATGTACATGCGTGAGCTGCCACTGCAAATAACCCGATATTATGCAACTGTTGATCAGATCAGCCTCTGTAAACACTATCAAAGTGTTCGGGCACTTTACTACCAGTCGGATGCAGCAACCAGAAAACTGCTAACGCGGTACCTTCATAATGAAAAGTCACAGTCACTGATCAGTGAAATCACCAAAATGTCAAGGCAGTTAAATGGCTAAGGTCATGAAAGAAAGGAACCGGTAAAAAATATCCTAAACAAGAAAGAGGATAAACCTCTACTCCTGTTGAATAAACATGAATGGAATATTTGGTGGGACTGTATACTCCTATTAATTTGTTCATGGCACAGGAGACTGGAAGCTTTTATCGAGACACCATATTTAGAAGGTTGTCGAATAAGGCTCTAGACCCCTTCCAGGTCAAGGAGTGGGGTCTAAATTATTGAATTTGTTGCTACAGGTGTGTACAGGTTAATTGGTTTGTCGATACAGGTGTGTACAGGTTAATTGATTCTTTTCAAATAAAAATCCAAAATAAATACAAATATGCTCGCATTGGACTACAATGTTTTCATTATCTATAAAAAATATCCTTAGTGCCTCATCAATGTCAGGATAACATACTTTCTGCATGAATACTTTATCACATGTGTATCTTGTATTGGACAACATTGTGCTATCTTTAGTTTGAGTGTAAATTTTGTGCAAAAGAATGAAGACGCCATACGAAAATATGAATTTTGTCGAACGTCTTTTCTATGCAATCAGAAAAGAGAAAGACATTCCTGTCCAATCATGAATTAATTCATGTGAAACATTTTTACTGGAGATTCAGCTTCACAATTAGCGGTGTTCTTTCGACATTACAATACATATATGTGGCAAGTGTGTTCACTTCAGAACGTCACCAGTGTGGATAGGTGGTAGGATAATTATTTTATCGGATACTTCAGGAATAAAACGAACTAACACAAGAGTTTAAAATAAATAATATATTTTTATTTATTTTCTTTAGAGTGATGAGTGAGTCCTTTGATATTCGGTGTAGCAGAAAAGCTCGTTAGTAAGGCGGATATTGGTAGCAATTCTGGAGAAACGCCCAAATCGGTGTTTTGAAGAAAAACCATGATAGGGATAGTAGTAATCTCGAAAATTAGGTCGATGTCAATCTGCTGTGTTTTACCCGGCAGGGCGGAAATATTTAGTGAATGACCTCTTAACTGCTTCTTCACGTGTTACGCATGGTTTGTTTCTACAAAGTAACGTTCTTTTGTTCTTTCCTTTGTTCGTCCCTTCTCTAATTAACCCAGAGGTGTCAGTTTATATCCTTTTAAGCAGGCTCGAGAATTTGTCGCAAACATTGGTTTCAACTAACACCAAAAAGTTTCTTTGTGTCAATTTTTTTGGATTGGTCAAATTAATTTTATTTTCCGACGTTCCTTTCTTTTTCATTTTTTTTTTTTATAATGGAAGTTTTGCGTGGAGCCTCCCTGATTTTTGGTATTTTTCAGTCACAAATAATTAGGCTCATCTCCTGAAAACTTCCTGTGTTTTTTTTAGCCGGATTCAGTCTTTTCTTTTCTCCTTCTTCCTCTTTTTATTTGAGAGTTACCTTCTCGTAGGTTGAGAGAAGTATAGAAACAGAAGTTTAGAGAGAGACAGAGACAGAGAGATAGAAATAAAGAGATAAGGGTTCTAAAGGAAAGCGCAAATGCCTTATTTTAATTTGAATTCTTTTTATTTTTGTTTATATATTTTATTTTTATATTTTATTTTGTTTTTTATCGACATATATTTAAAATGATTTACTCACTTTTTCATATTCCATTTTCTAAATTTTTACCGAAACGGATATTCAATTCAACACTGTTAAAAGTCTTCTCTTTGCCCACTGACCTGAGATCTTGTTTATTCAGAAATTTAGGCTCACAGAAGGGTCCATCCAAGTTTTCACAAATGTGTAAATGGTTGGCAGAACAAAAATTAGAAGAGATAGCAAAATACAGACCTTACTAAGAGCTACAAAGAACAGCAAGTTGTGGAGAGCAGTGATCATTCACGGCACATAGAAAAATAAAGCGTCTCCATATTCATAAATATAATTGTCTATTGCACAGTTACTGGATCATTGTTTAATTTCTTCCCAAATCAGGAATAGCAAATTAGAAAAGCGAGAAAATGAAATTACACAATAACTAGTATAGTGACATATACGACTCCCACTTGTGTTGGTAAGATGGCGTAATTGCGGGCTCAGGGATCTCATCTTAATTCTCGGAAGTCCAAAGATAAGTTTGCTGGCGTTCACTTTTACTCTGAATTGAGATAATGTTTGAAAAAATTGATGTAAGTGTTAATTGTGTTCCCCCTCATTTACGTTTGCGATTAAAACATCGTCTATGAAGACATAAACGACTGATGTCCTAAATACGTCATTCATAAGATGTCATTAAGTCTGTGCAGCGTATCACAGATGCTATCTTACAAATATTGAATATTTGTTGAAAATTTAAACATTGATTATTTCAATGTTTAAATTAAATAACCAGAAGTGTTTCTCGAAAGCATAGACTATTTAAACATCGTAAGACTTTTGTCCAAGTACTGACAATGCACGCAGGGAAGAACGAAGATATTTTTTGTTGAGATGCACAACCGAATGTGTGTGTGGATGTTGTCAATTAGGACAGCGTGAAAAGGATTGAAAAGATCGAAAGACAAGAATGTCTATTTTTATCCCTGCGTTGTCTAATACTCTTCTTGCTACTGTACTTTCAATTTGCAGAATAGGCAGCCGGATTATTCTTGCAGCTTCGTGCAGCTGAAAACAGACAGTGAGTACGAAGGAAATGGTTTCACATTTACGGTTGGACGAGGTAATGAAATCGGTAAGTATTTAAAATCTGTAGAGGGTGTCTTTTCTAGGAAATTGTATCGAAACGAGGTTGAGAACTTTCGAGAAAATTGTATTTATCATTTCAGAAGGAATAAATTTCAAAACGTAGAGGAATTTTATATATATATATTTTTACAGGCTTAGTACAAATAAAATTTGTTACTTAGCTGATTGATGTTATATATATATATATATATATATATATATATATATATATATATATATATATATATATATATATCTCAGAGTTTCGTAGACGAATGTTTTTGTAATTGCTCAGTCCACTCTTCAGGAGGTTTTCAGCAGTTGACTGCTGTTTGTCTCATTTTTCGTTATTTTTATACTAAGTTTGATTGTAACATTACGAGAAGAGAGAAGGTATACTAGTGTGTATGCAGATAACAGAAAAAGAATGAGAAAAACATTTGAAGTTTTGCTATTAGAAAATGTGCGCCCGTGTGTGTGTGTGTGTGTGTGTGCGCGCGCGGGCGCGTACGTATGCGTGCGTGTGAGTTAAGTTTAGTATGTAGTCACCTAAAGGAAATAATTTTTCCCTGGCTGTGTTGAAGCTGCTGTATTTTGGAAAAAGATCAAAAGAAAGAGTATCAAAGGGTTATACCCGTTATTTTATAGTCCTGAAATAGCACAACCTAGCGGGCGGCTAGTCACGCTAGGTGGGGGTAATCCCCATCACAGCTCTCCTCATTTTTTTTTCACTTATTTCGTTTCCTCAAAAAATACTGACCACAAGACAGTAAGATTTGGACAAACTGTAATGATATACAAGCAAATTGTGTAGAATTCAATACTATTAATTGAGAATAGAGAAATTGGAGGCTGAAATAGAGATGAAAATTATTTACATTATTCGGTCTGTAGTCCTCATCTTTCTTGCCATATTATAATAATAATAATAATAATGGTAAGAAAAGCGTAGTGGGCTTGTTCGAAAATATTCTTACGGGCGCCTAAGAAATTAAGCTTGACAGAAAAAAATGTGCGGACTTTATTGTAGCAACAGAAGGTATAAATGTCCGTGGTGGAAAATAGAAACTGTCGGCGAACTTCACGAAATGTTGTGGAATTTTGTTGAACCCTTCGGAGGTTGATAGCGGAAGCATCTGTTTGTTGAATGGGAGGAGTTACTGAATGACTGCCGTTCGTAAAAAACAAAAAAAACTAAAAAAAAAAAACTTTAGAAGTTGGTACGGTCTCGTAGAATTATAATTTAAGAGGGTGAGTTGTCTTCGTATTATTAAAGGAAACTCAGTCTGTTGAGTGTTTGTTTCCAATAAACATTTTCAATATTATCAATTGTTGTAAAATGTTCCAAAATTCTTTGCTGCTCACGGGATATCTCGGAATCCAGCGTCTTTTTTTTTTCAACTCGCTGCTGAAAGTTTATTGCTCTTTTGATCATCATTTTTACACACGCATGAACCAAATTGTAAAGAATCGTAATTAAATTTCATCAGAAATACATCATAAATATAATAAATATTTTCTATGAACGAAGTCGTTGGCTGAGAGTTGGCTGACGACTTCTTTCATATTGTGCCGACCGGATCACTAAGCTATTTTTCAAAATTTCCTCTGATTTCGAATTCTGTCCTGATTGATTGAAAATTTAGATTAAGTCCTCTTCTCAAGCATTTTCCCATTATATTCCTTCCTTTTTATTACTCTAACTCAGACATTGTTTCATCATAATCCAGCTCATAAATAAAGCTTATCAGAAACGTCCCGTCTGAACATCTAATTCATTGGAAATGTCTTCGCGTTTAGTAGTGGGTGAGAGGCAGATGATCGTATTTTTCCATATATTTTTATATGTGTTACTAGCATTTTTGTCTACGACGCTGAAGAGAATTATAACGGTGCCCAAACTCTCCTATGACAGTTAAGAGTTCAGAAAAATCTCTGTCGAACGTGACATAAAACAAGGGATGAGAACAATATATACTTGACGCTGAACGAAATGAAAGGTTCCGTTCTATAGTACATTAATATATGGAATGCATCAAACAACTAAGGAAGCCCAGATAACACATCATCCGAAATGGTGTGAAAAAGCAACAAAAATGATGAAGTTAGTTAAGAGAACTATTGTATAACAATTACAACACATCTTTAAAATTCAACTAGAAAATATTTATTATATTTATGAGGTATTTCTGGTAAAATCTAAACTATAAAATAAATTTATTAGTATAAGTTTTAAGATAAATTTTGCCGAACACCTGTAATTCTTTTTCCGAGAGTCTAGCCAGTTTGAAAACAACACCAGATAAACAGGATAATAAAGGAGTTACCATTCTTTACAATCGAATTAATGTCTTGTTAATATCAATATTTCGGCCGGTGAGCTCTCCGGCTTTCTTCAGGTGTTTGTTGATTCAGGTAACCTTCAGGCAATTTCGAACTGAACCTTTAATTTAATATACGGAGGTTGATTGTTATCGTTTGGATGTTCAAGTCTACAAATATCTCGTCTTGTTCTTTTTAGTAATGCTCTACATATATATAATATACTTATTGACATTTATTTTGGAATTTCAGATCTCTAAAGATTGTCATAGTCTATAAGCAAACGATAAAGCTTAAAAGAGAAACACGATATTGTAAAATTATTCTGTGATAAGAACAACATTACAAATTCGGAATAAGTTTTTTTTTTTAATTAAGCCACTAAGACACAAAGGGTTACTGAATGTTAAAGAAGATGAGAAAAATTATTAAGGAGAGAGAACAATAAAAGAACAATAATTAAGAAGACGGTATATAACTATTGGCATTGCATTTAATTTTTTAAATCACAAAACAATTAAAAAATTGAAAGCATTAGCGAGATAAAAACACGAAAAATCTAACTTTAAGAATATCACGAAGAAACCAGAGAAAAATTAAAAAAGTAATAAACAAGAAAATTGGTTTGAATTGCAACAAAATATTTTAAGCTGGTGTTGCGAATGTTAAAGGATTTTTTATTTGGTAAAAAAAAATACTACAAAAAATAGTTCAAACAAACGTTTGAGATAACATTTAATTTATAAGGGTACACAGAAAAGATAGATGACACGAGCCGAGTTTAAAAAAAACAGACAATAAATTTATTGTTAACACGCAAAAATGAAGGAATTACATAAATTAAGTGCTTTGTGTGTCAAATGATGGCCACATGTATGTAAAAATAATCAATGCAAATGAAATCTGCCTTTTTTACAATAAAAATTACAATGCTGCTTAAAGTCTCCTGAAAAGGTAAACAACATAAAAATAAATGAAGAAAGGGAAAATATACTTCTCTGAATAGTTTTCAATGAATAGGTAGAATTTTCGAAGCAAAGTCTGTGGTAGCAGCGAAGGATAGAACAATCACACCAGCCGAAGAATTTTCCTTGATGTGGGAGCGACTTTGATGTTTCTTTCAATTCTTGTCTGGTGGTCGTCAAATTTCTTTTGTGTTTTTTTTTCTTCGTCAAGAACTGACCTGGGTTCATGCAACAGCTGTTCGTCAACACCTCGAATTCAATTCCTGGCCCTCTATTTATTCATCCAGATAGGCTCCAGACTCACTTCTTGGAATTTGGAAGGAAACCTTTTGATTGGTTTCGAATTAAAAACAAACGTAGCTATTTTCCAACAAATCGAAATGTACCAAAAACATTTTTGAAATTCAAAAATTTAAGCAAGAGCCCAACACAGAGTATGATTTCTCTCAGAAAAGCAGACGATACACGCTCAAGCAGCTTTAATTTCTTATAATGTAGACAAAAAATAGATGCAGTATATTAAGAACATTGGCTAAAGACATGAAAATAACTAAACTACACATTTACATAAACATTACAAAGAGTAACATGTAAAATGAGCAAAGGAGTATATGAAAAGTATTTTCTCAACCTTTTTCTTTTTTGAATAATATTCATCCAATACAAGGCGCAGGAGCCACTCAAGGTCGAGGGTTATATTAGCGTAGGAAAGAGCAAGGTCGAGCATAGGAAAAGGCAAGCATTAGGAGTATAAGCTGAAGTAGACTTAGAAAGAACCGGAAACTAAATCCTAAACTGAAAACAGGAGATAAAACTCTACTCCTGATTAAAAAAGGATGTGAACCGGGCGATAGGCGAATGTGATGAACAATTACGTAGAAGTAAGCGAGTCAAAGTGGCTTGAATCTGGCGCAAAGGAAAACAATTTATTAAAACTTATTTCAATACATGACACATAGCAGCGACGTTTTATTCCTTGAAAATGGCATGGATCTCACCCACCCCTTTAGATTATTCCGGACGTGTATGATTCTGTAACGTTGGCTATATACAGCTTAGCGTGGTTCGACCAATAGTATTTCGCATGCTGATTGGTCGCACTAGACGATGCCATTTTACTGCGTGACTGAAGACGAAGCGAAGAACGCTGATTGGTCAGTCGGCCGTGGTGTTGGCATAATAAAAGAGGGCTCAAGCAGTAAGAAACAGATCGATTTTTTTATGTTAGTGACGTGTGCGTGAATTAAAGAACGGCGTATTGAGAAGAAGCATTCGGTGTTGTACGAGCGGCGTCAGAGAAGTATAACCTCATTTTACTACAAGCTATTTCGGCCTTCCTCCCAATTATGGCGGACAGAGGTTTCGGTATTTAGCTCATACCCGAATTCAGTGGGATTGCTACTGATCTACCAATTGTAGAATGGAGTGAGAACGTGGAGTTGCTTTATGAACTCTACGAGAGGAAGAAAATCGAACGGATACTACGCCTATCCTTGCGAGCCGGGGCCCTCACTGTGTACCGGCAGCTGACTAAGGAGCAACGCAGAACAGATTAAGCAGACCCTTATAACCGCATATGCGGTGGATTCATTCAATGTGTTTAATCAAGTTGTGTCACGAAGATTTCGCCCATTTTCGTTGACGAATTTTTAGCAGAGTTAAAATATTTAGCTCTGCTGTTTTTTTTTTTTTGTTTTTGTTTTGTTTTGCCCGATCGATG